AATTTAATTTAATTATTTGTATTGTATTCAATAGTAAGTAAAAGTATTTTTAATAGCATTTTTTTAAATCGTAAAACTCTGCCAAAGAAACCTAACTAGATTGGAGGGGGCCTTTGCATGCGCATTCAGATGAATGCCCCATCAAGACGCCCACACAATCTGAGGCAGCCACTGTGCCAGATTGCTTGGGGTCCATCTAATTGTCGTTTATGCGCACACTGCTAGCCTGCAATTGTCAGCGCACTAACTGTAAATGATGTTGCCTCAATGCCTCAATGCACACGACTCGCTGGGAAAGTGGAAACTAGAAACTGAAAACTGAAAACTGCCAACTGGCGCCCACATATGATGTCGTTTGGGACGCGTGTTTGGGGTTTGTTTTTGACAGGCGCGTTGGCACTAATGTCTTTTTCTTGCTCGTTTGTTTGCCACACTTACAGACACCCACACACACACACACACACACACACACTCACACAATTACAATCACATTCAGTCACACATAAACTTGGTTTTGGCCTTTGGCACTTTGTCAATCGACAAACAAAACGAATTGCAACGACATCGTTGCTCTCCCAGTTGGGGGTGGGCGTGGGCGTGGCACAAGGAATCACTATCGACTGCCGTCTCCAGCTCTGCGCTGCATGCAAATGCTGTATGGGCCACCGCATATTGTCAGCTCACTCGCACCTGCAGCGCAGCTTATGTATTCATGCGTGCACGTTAGTTGCTTCCGCTAAGGTCCTGGCTATTGTTTTGATTGCTTGCAACTGCCAACAATGCTGCAAGCTGTGCAGAGGCAACAAAAAAAAATACAAAGAAATAAAAAGATAACATTTATAGCCAAGGTTGACTTTGCAGTTACCTACAATTTGATAAGGGCATATTCAGAGGAAAATGTGAAGAACTCATAAAGCAAGAAGCAAGGTATAAAAAATGTTTAATTTCCTAAAATAAGTGATTAAAAAATTTTTGAAAATGTTTAGTTAACATTAGGTTAGGAAAAGGTTTCTTTTTATAAATAGGATTCATATTAAAATACGAAATATACTAAAAAAAGGACTTCATAGGGTAAAAATATGATATAAATATAAATATCCTAGCTCAATTTAAATTATAACAATAAAAAATAAAAACACATTTTTGGTTTATTCATTTTTGGAATTTGTTGGCTAATTGAAAAAAATTTCTAATATGAATGTCAGTGACA